CATGTTTTGACCGCACTGGCCTCTGTGAACAATTAAAGGAACTATGTGGACGCGTAATTTCTGCTAGATGGCACCATTAAGAACAGCAGTGACGTCTGAAGGAAAATCAATTTGTCAAAAAAGGCATTGAGAGAATCTCTTGAAATATTGTTGCAATTCTGTCTTAACTCTCCTTTGAATTCCCTTGGAAATTTTTTCCGAATCTTCTGGAACGTTACTCAGATTTGTTTTAATGTCCTCAAAATTACCTGAGAATCTGGAATCCTCTCGGAAATTCTTTGAAATGCCCTCAAAATTCGATTGAATTCTCTAATTCTCTCTATCTTGAATCTTTTTTCAAACTATCTTGAAATTCTGCATAGAATTTTTTGAGCTAACTAGAGAATTAGATTCCCTTGGAATTATCATTGATATTCTCTTGTAGCTCTACTCAGAACTCTCTTTGGTTATTTGATTGATTTGCATTTAAGAGATTTTCAGCCGTTGGTTATCATTAGTGGTAGGATAAAGGCACCAGTGTTGGCCATAGTTTCCTATTTTGGCCATACATCAGAAAAACGGTTGAATCACAATCTTCGTGCTTTTTGTGGGCGATATGTATGTGTACCCCGATGAATATGATTTGAATCAACAATCTTAACAGAATTTAACATCTCAACACTTGTAAAAAACGTTAAATATCGTCTAAACATGGCCAAAAACGCCGCATGGCCATGGTTGCTTTTCCCCTAGTAGCCATTGTAACTAAATTAGATTGAATCTGTAATTCCTTCAGATTTGTTTTAGAATTCTACTCATCATCCCTATAATTCTAGATAGAGCTGGAATTATGGCGTAACAGCTTTTGTAAACAATGACTTCTCTCGATGATTTCTAGAAATTCATGGCTCGCCCACTCAAATCAACATCGCCATCAGGCAGAAGAAGTTTTCCCCTTCCCGATGATTATGTCTATCTAGAATTGTCTCTTTAGAATTATCTTGGAATTCACCTTTAGTTCTCCAAACAACTTTCTTGAAATCCTTCTAAAAATTACCTGTAACTTCTAGTCAAAATCCTTTGACATTCTCCTCATCCTGCCTTTTAGGAATATCCTTAGAATTTTTCTACAATTCTCCTCAAAACTCATTTGGCATTCTCATTCAAATTATCTAGACAATAGTCAGAAATGAAATTTTGTCTTAGTTCAAGAGTTTTGTGATGTTTTAAAAATTTCGCTTTATTTGAAACTTTAAATATGTTTTGGAAGTCTGAAATCCCGTGAAAGTTCAAGAGGGTGTTTTAAGTGGTCTAGCCTCAAAATCCTAGTTCAAGAGTTTTATGATGTTTTAAAAAATTTGTTTTATTTGAAATTTTAAATATGTTTTGGAAGTCTGAAACTCCGTGAAAGTTCAAGAGGGTGTTTAAGTGGTCTAGCCTCAAAATCTGAAAAAAAGCTAGAGTTGAGCGATGCATACTCGGAAATCACAGCCTAGAAGGACATTCTTTGTGGATTCCTTCGTTGCTGTTCTTTTCTAAATGATTTTCGATGCATGACAGTCATTATTGTCATCGGATTTAAATTGTGATATTAGCTCACGATCAAGTGTTTGTAGTGGTCTTATTGATTTGTATGTAGTGATCCGAGGGGCTCGGTGGCCTAGTGGTGACCGGTTTGCTTACTGAATCTTAGGCTCCGTCACATCAAAGAGCAAGCTGCGATTTCATTCGATTAGCTTCATGTTGCTGGACGTAATGGTTTGTTGCGATCAGGGAATCAAAAATGTCTATGTCATGACAAAATGATATACGGCATACGAGCCAAATAATAATGGATTATGCTATAGCGTGATCGGAACGGTGTTATGACGTAACAAAAAATTTCCCATTGATCTACAAGTAACATCTACCGCGTGTGTTGCAAGCACACTTTTAAACAATTTTATATTTTACTTTCCACCGTTCCATTCCGATCAAGCTATGTTGCAGAGAGAGTCAAGGGGACACACATCTAAATCTAAATTTTAGATGCTCCAAAAATCTCACACTAGCGAATAAATCTTCGAAAAATCTTCTTTCATTTCTCGCATCTACTTGCATCCCGCATCATCTTTTTGCAGGAAATCTTCAAAATCGTGATAAATCTTCTTTCTATCTAATCAGCGTACGTGCAGCTAGCCACAGCAAAACACAATATTTACTGCATCGTAGATAGAGTCGTCTCCCTCGGAGAGAGTTCAAGTGCAAATTTTCATTACGTCGAAAGTAACAAAGGTAAACAAAGTCGAGCTATCAGTGTCAATCGATGCTCCTGCTATTACACTATATAAAGTCCGAATATCCCATTTTTAAATTTATTTACCAGTCAAATTGCTTTTTGACGTAATTACCTTCCTATCAAAATATTTTTCGATGTTACTTAAGTCACCCAATTTCTATGCGGCATCTCCATAGTCTTAAGGAACAGCGCAGAGAAACTCGTGAAAAGTGTACGTTCGTCGTTTCGCTTTCTCATTATTAAAGTGGATAAATCGATCTGTTTGTTGCTAAGATGATTTCGGTGGTCCTAAAATGATGTATGGGTTGCACGTAAGAAGACGTGATTGATAATTCTCCCGAATATTCTGATAAATACACTTTGACTTAAGCAACATTAGAGGCCACCAAACGACGTATAATAACTTTTCACTCAAAAACCAGTATTTCTTAGCATGAAAGCTAGCGATCTTCTTTGTATGATTAAAACCATGCTTAATATGTTAAAAATTGCTATCACTATGAGATACGAATACAAATAACTTTTCGGTCATCAAAACAAAACTTTATTTTTATCGGATTGGTGCGAATGTTACTTTCGACATAATGAAAATTTGGTCTTGAGTTTGTCATGACAATCGTCGCAAGCATTTTGTCTACAATGTTGCTTGATCTCAGTGCTTTGATTCTCTGGTTGTGATGTAAGGGGCTCGTTGGTTTAGTGACGATCGTTTACTGCTTACTGAGCAGAAGATCTTGTTTGAGTACTATTCCATTCGAATAGCTTCCTGACACCGGGCTTTCGTAATAATTTGTTCCGATACAAAGGGCTCGGTGGCCTAGAGGTGATCGTTTTTGTCCCTTTACATTTCTGAGTTGATAGATTTTTTTTTAATCTCAATATTTCTTCTCGTCGGGATTCTAAACTTTAACTAAGTGCGAGGTATCTTAAGGATTCTGACTCTTAAGACATGTTTTAAAGTATCAAAATGCTTAAAATTTACCAGTTAATTGATTTTTTTTAAGAAAGCAATTTTCAACACTTTGCTGGGCTTCGAAAAAATGTTGCGACTGAGAATCTTGAAAACTTTCTGTTTTTCAGAACCATTAAAATTTTTCCTTGTCTTTGTTGCTTATTATTTTTTTCCCTGTTCACCATCTCTAGTTTGAGATCTCACAAGTCTCAGTCTTAGAATGTCTGAAACTTGAGATTGTATCAAAATCTTAAAGATATTTTCACTTCGTAAACATCTTACTCGGTGAAAATTTCTCAACAATAATCATGGGTTTATCTCTGGTATTCCCTTGGGATTTCTTCCCATAACGCATAATGTAGTTCCTAAATACTGCCTTGATAACAATTGGAATTCACTCTTGCAAGAAGTTTTTTGATTTTTTCTCCACAATTGTATTCAATATTCTCTTGGGAAAACGGCACAAAACACATCGTTTCGAGTTCAAATACTATGCTAGAATTGTTACAAAAAGTTACGAAAGTCAGCTGGTGCGTTCTGCTCTGGGGGTGCGTTCTATACCACACAGAATTGACCTGAAATTCTTCTCAGAAATATCTTTTATTCTCCAGTAAATTTATCAGTATCCACTAAATAATTTTCCAAAATTTGGTTGGAAGTCTGCACAAAATTTCCTTGGAACGCTCCCGGAGATTTTCCAGAATTTACATTCTATTTAAAACTCGCTTGGAGCGAAGACAACATATCAAGAAGACTGGCAACTCTTACATTTTCTCAAACGACCGGTATGAGACAGGCACAATCGCGTCATCTGCCACTCAAAGGTAAATGCTCCGACAAATTGGATAGCAAAAGCTCCATCCTCAGACGAAAGGTTTCTGTATTTGCTCTTTTTTCTATGCGTTGATTCTACTTTCGCTCGAGCGCAGCGCGTATACTGTGGCTGTCGCTCAGATTCAGGCAAAGTCTTCTTCATATGTTGCCTTCGCTTGGAGTCCCTCTTGTAATACCCTGGAACCTATCCTCAGAATTGGATTTTGCTTAGATTTCCTTTGGAACTATTCTCAGATTCAAATTCCCTTTGTTGTGTCATTACTTGGAATTATTGTCTTGATGCCTTAGAAGTTTTGGGGATTTTCCTTGGATACTTTTTTTTAAATTATCATCACAACCACATTTCGGATTTGTTTTGACAAATTTCCTTTGGAATTATCCTGGAATCTCCATCAAATTCTCTTCAGAAGTTCTGAGACAGAACGATTTTCCAGAGCTTTTAAAATCATAGATTATTTGGTTTTAATTGCGTTGTTCGTCAAGTATAGCTTAAAATTACACGATGGTTATTATTTTAGCACTAGAGTCGCTGTAAGTACTTCGTCAAATATCCCAAGGTAGTTTTCCAGAACAATTTCTCTAAGAATCAGCTGGAAGTTCTCTGAATGAAAACACTCAGAGTGTTAGCAACTTCAACTATTCCTTTAAGATCTTCGAAAGTAGCTCTATTTTTCACCATGATTGAGATTTACTTGTCAGATATTTGACCTTCCTAGGGTAAGTTTGCCGATTAAGGCACTTGTGTTCCAGTTTTTGACCTTAGGGTCTAAATCAAATTTGTAATAAATTTACAAGATTGTTTTTATCTGGCAAAATATATGTTCTAACCATATATCGAAATAAATTTAGTAAAATAGGAAAAACTGTTAAATTTAAGATAGTACCAATTAGTGCACCACTAGGGCACTTACCCTATATCTATCACAGTAATAACCCCCATACATAACCTATTTCTTCCAGAAGTTCTCCAAACATTTACCTGAAAGAGTTTTCCACCCAAGTAACAAAGTTTTACCGAGGTTTTAATGCATTCTTCAAGCCTAAATCTACAAGAGCATGACAAAACCAAAAATGTTACTCGATAATCAGCGATATTTCACAAAACGTAGCGAGCCATTGGAATCCCTCCAATTTCCTCCCTAGAAGTTCTTGGTTCTTCTTACTATTTTCCGAAGGAAGTACGGGTTATGGATAGATTCTTGAAGAATATTATGCTGCAAGCCTAATGGATTTTCTAGAGAAGTCATGGGAACACTTGGGACTATTTGCAGAACTCTTATTGATTAAGCTGTTTGACTTTCGGAGATAGGAGAAAGCTTGGAGAACATTTCTGATAGTACGAAATATTCTTCCCAATTGCGTAGAAATTTAGAATGTTTCTACGGTAGATCTATGTAACTTTCAGACCAAAGTCAAGCCAATTTTTAGTTCATGATGGATTACTGGGAAAAGACAGATACTCAAGCTACCTCAGATTAAAAAAAATATATATATTACCTATTTAGAATCAACTTCACTACCTGTGGACGCATAATTATCCCATGTGCTATGGAGTTTCATACCAACATGGAACAATTGTCCACACGCATGTCCATGGATTCAAGTAGTTTTCAAGCAGTTCACAAATAATTCTGTAGAAGTTTTGTTTTTGTCCAGAGGTTCAATATATAAAATGAGATTTGGGAGATTTTAAAGAAAAACAAAATCCGGGAAGTGACGAAGTTTTGAGAATTTCTGCTAGTGAGTGGTAGTGAAATCCATTACCCATAATCGCATAACTATCCTATATCAAGAGGAAATAAAGCAGAAATGGGTCTAATATGCGATTACGGGCAGTCCAGATGGATATTCCTCTTCACTAAACTCATTCTGTATCCTAATCCACGTTCAACAAACGAGCATAACAGTCATAAAGTTATGCAGGAATTGTAATACCCATTAGCTTTTAGGATAGGAAAGAAACCTCCGACCTCCATTGCAGGCAGTATTTTAATAACGCTCAGTGTACACCGCTGCGCAGTATCGTATACTGCAATCTACTTCAAATGTGGTAAAAAATCGGTCGAAAATTGCTTCGCCTACCGATGAATACGTTTCAGAATCCTAGCGAAAGCTTCTTAGATAAGTCTATCGTCGACAGGTGCCTCTTTAGGTTAGAATCTTCCAATCGAACCGATTGTTATTGGTGTGGGTGATGGGATCGCACGGAGGTTCCACAAGTTTCCAGTCGCCGATACCGTCCTCCGACTCGATCACTGCCATACTGCAGTAAGGAACTTTTTGCATAATCCGGCTCATGTCGTTCGTCGAGCGTAGCTTCTCGCCCACGATGTGGCGCGTGCAAGTGTCCAGGGTAGTTGCGTGACCCACGATTAGAATGTTACCGTCTAAAACGATCGAAACACAATTTGTATTACACATTCAAAGTTGTTCCAAAATTGCCTCACTCACTTGTACTGTTGATCAAATGTTCCGTTATTGCCGAGTTTCGCTGGTAGAACTCCTCCAAACCTTCCTGCAATCGTAACTTGAGATCGTCAACCTTGGTCAAGGGATCGTAGTCCATCACAATGTTGTAGTCTGCCGCTACGAGTTCCTCGTTGGACATCCACTCCGGTAGTCCTTCCTGGTACCATGCCAACCACTCGAACAGTCCCGGTTCCACGTGAATCGGGTGACTGTCTTTCAGTCCAAGGCCTTCCAGTATTCCCGTGATCGTTTGAATGCATCGGAACGACGGTGAACTGTACACGTGATCGATCCGAACGCCGGCGTCCTTCATCGCATCGCCCGTCAGCCGAGCCTGATAGCAACCCATGTTGGTCAACGGTGAATCCCGCTTCCAGTGGGTACTTAATCTGCGAAACAAACACTTCAGTTACTTCTATCACCGCGCAGTGAAACCTCTTCAACTTACCTCTGAGGTAAAGACTTTGGCATATTTAGATCCTTCCTAATGTAGTTACCCGCTTGATCGAAACAGTACGGTATCCACGTTCCAAAAGTGAAATCGATTCGCTCGCCGTGTCGCAGAACGTAGATTCGTCTACCGGCAACGGCATCCTTGGCCACTGAAACATCTCTCGATTCTTCACCAGCGTTTCCGGCAATCACCGACATCGTCGTCCGCTTTTTCATCAACTCGTATAGCTTTTCCGCTGAGATAACATCCTCCTTCGATTTTCCGTCCACCTGCGCCATCTCTACCTGTTGTTGCACGTCACCGTGACCTACTGATACTGAATGTTTCGGTGGAAAATAGGGTAATCATGAGCGTGCACTTTTTTTTTTCGATCGTCTTATCTTATCGCACACTTCAGTGACATCATGACATAATTAACCCTGACACTTACCGGTTTCTTGCGATTCAACGTCATGGTCTTCCTGATCTGCGGTGTGGTTGCAACCGGCTACACCGTCGACCATATCCGCTGATGCTGGTTCTGCTTGGTCCGGGGTTATTGGATCGCACAGCTGTACGGTGCGGTGCATGGTCCAGGCGTCGGATTCGGCCGTCCGTTCGGTGTAGTTTTCCGGCAGATACCCGTTGGTGCCGGTGAGCCAGGAGATTCCCTCGACCCATCCGTCCGAGGAGTTTTGGATCGCTTCCGAGCTTAGGTAGATGTAGTCGCCGATCCGCAGCTCCAGTTCGTCCGGCTCACGAGGGGTGTGCGGGTAGAGCACTTTGTGGACCTGCAATGAAGGTGTTTCCTTGAGTGATTATTGCTTACTTTAATTGAGGGTGTTAGAAGGAAAGGGGTGTAAGTGACTTTGATCGATTCTCTTCATCGACTTTCTCTTTCGTTAATAATTCAGCTGCAAACACATTCCTTGATTCGTGTGCCATTTTGGATGCTAGATGAGAACCTCCTTTATCAAGCTATGTGGCAGAAAAAGCGCAAAATCTGTTTATAAGGCTGTGGCTATCAAAAGATAAAGTCGATGAAGAGAATCGATCAAAGTAACTTACACCCCTTTCCTTCTAACCCCCTCAATTGACAGTTCTGAGCTCGCCAGAGGTTGAAGTGACTTGTGGTAGTTTTTAAGAGGTAATGGAATTCCATTGGCGTAATTGATGAAAAATCCTAGGAGGGTCTAAATTTATGTTTTGAACTTCTCAATTATGCAATTAGAAGTTAGAATAAGGAAAACAAGTAATTGTTGTATTAATTCTAGAGGGGAATACATTAATCCTAGGGGCTAGCCCCCTCTTAGTTACGCCAATGCTGGAATCCTCTCTTAACCACTGTTGATTTAAAAGCGGCCTTTCTAATGTAGATTTGTGGAGGGTCTCTTGGACGTTCCAGGGAACTTCCGTGCAAGTCCGGTTAACATTTTGAGCGGATTCAAAGTCTTTCTGCGGTAGAGGCTTTGACAAAATCATATGAACATTTAGGGAGGACCCAAGATATTTCAGAGACGGTTTCAGGGTGTCTCTCACTTTCGCTCAACCGGGAGAACAGGTAATCAAAAACAACCGGAGAAAACCGTTGCATAACCGAGAATTTTATTGGATCTTTAACATATTTTTTTTTAAATAATCAAAGTCCAATATCACTTATAATATTGAATCACGCACCATAGATTACGGGCCATAAACTTGAACAGTTTTCTAATACCAGGATTTTGAAATTTGTTCTCAACCGATGAATCTGAAAACTGATAATTTATTGAATGTCTCACGGAGTTCAAAACTTAAGAGAATTATTTGTTTGGAGCTTGTCCTAGGATATTTTCGCAAATTTCTCATGGATTTTCTTAGGATAATTTCAAAGTGTCATCAGAATTACTTTTATTGTCAGGATTCCTTTCAATAATCTTATTATTTTGTCCAATATCGGGAAACCCAAGGGTGACCTACACCAATCGCACACCAATCTTGGGTCAGTGTGTCGCAAGTGTGCCGATTGTGCCGGTCATAGAACAAGCTGCGATTGTTTGTAAAATACCCATCCGGCAACCCGGTATTTCTGACACCTTGAATGTTTTGGTTTGAAATCGCAAGGATAAATAGGATTGACGATGACGCGGAAAGTGGCGGATGTGTGGGTTTTGTGTTCATAGGATAATAAAAGTACTGTGTTTTAGGGTTTTATAATGCCCTCAAAGGTAGATCAGAAACCTAGGGTTTTGTGTTCATAGGATAATAGAAGTCCTGTGTTTTAGGGTTTTATAATGCCCTCAAAGGTAGACCAGAAACCTAGCCTTTCGTGATGTGAAAAGCAACGGTCTATCAGCGGCCGGAAAGAGTTGGAAACGGTGGGGAACATTGTTGGAGACTTATTATAGAGGATGATGAATATGACTTCTGTAGTTTGTTTTGTGTGAGTTGCAGCATTATTTGAATTAAGGGTACTAATCGGGTCTGATTAACTGGCTCTTTCTCTTGATCCCACTATAGAACCTACATTTCGTGTTTAGATCTATAAGTGAACCGAAAAGCTGGTCTGAGTTCCTCTGGTATATAGAATTAGAGTTTGTTCCAAGGGGTAAGTCACTCAGCACATTGTGCCGAAATTAGATTCGGAACACCTTCGGCACAATCTCGTAGGCATTGGATTGTTGTAAATAGAATGGGACTGCTGGACAACTGTCATTAAAACTGTTCACAGCATTACGTGCTGTTTGACTGTATACTTTAATAAAATTGTTATGGTTATTTTGCCTAACGTCGTGCTTCGGAGGTCATCCAAACGATTTGTGGGATAGTTCTACGATATGGGTTATAGGTATTTTTTTATTAGAGTATTCAGGAACATCCTCTAATTGAATGTATCATAGGAACGCAGACCAGCAGTTCACTTTTGGATTCTCTTATAGATTTAAATCCAAAATGTAGGTTCTAGCGTGGGCTCGAGAGAAAGAGGCAGTTAATCAGACCCCATTAGTCTTAATTCAAATAATGCAACTCACACGAAACAAACTACAGAAGTCATATTCATCATCTTCTATATTCGGTCTCCAACAATGTTCCCCATCGGTTGCTTTTCACATCACGAAAGGCTAGGTTTCTGGTCTGCCTTTGAGAACTTTTATTATCCTATGAAAATTTCGTACACCCGCCACTTCCCGCGTCATCGTTTATCGGCTGGCGAACGAATACTATGAATTTGAGCATCATCTACAACCGATGTAGAAATTGCATTTCTCCTTAACGGCGCCGGTGGTGTAGTGGTAAGCGTGATTACCTCTCACCCCAGCAGGCCTGGGTTCAATCCCAGTCGGCGCCGCCGGGATGTTCTGAGGCATAACATCTCTGATCACGCCTTCCTTCGGATGGGAAGTAAAGCCGTTGGTCCCCGGTTCATGAGTTGATGGGTCGATAGGTAGGGTCCAGGTGTGAGAGCTGCCTTCCTGGCACGTCGGTAGCATTGGTGCTCAGCACGGAAAACAAGATCGACGGAAAAAAACAAACCAAAGGAAAAAAATGCATTTCTCCTTGGCTTGCCACTAGACCGATTTATCCTTGCGATTTCAAACCAAAACATTCAAGGTGTCAGAAATACTGGGTTGCCACGTGAGGTATTTTACAAACAACCGCAGTTTGCTCTATCACCGGTTCAACCGGCACACTTACGGCACACTGACAATTACAGCACAATTACGGCACACTGACAACTGGTATTATCCCAACAATTGCTTGGAGTTCAATTTACAATTTCAATTTTGATTTTATCGTAGTCTTGTAAGCCCTAATTTGGTCTTGAATAATCGTTTAAACCTTTATAAAACTTGCAAAGTTACTTTCAGTGTGGTAAATTATCATAAATCCTCAAAATTACAAAAACTCTATTCTTTTCTTCCACTCACAATCTGTTCGCGCACGGGGCTAACGGTGATTTTGCCGGTGTTCCTACCACTATAACTTACAGAGTAATTTTTTAGAATGTCATTTGATGTCATTGGTAGATTTAAAAAAAAAATTCTACAGTTTCCCGAGTGAAGTAGTTCTAGTATAAAGGCTGAACGAGACATGTCTTGTTACGAAGCTACTTGAAGATAGAGAAGCGGTCATGCTTGGTATGCAAATGTTCGACACCGGACATAATCAACGAACTAAAAAATCATGAGATGATTGGTGGGCATGAGCATGTGCTTAATTGACCGCCCGAGGATGCCAGATCAGCTGTAATAACATAGAGAACTAATAGTTGTTTCTTGGGACTAGCATTCATCCTAAATGTGTAAATACTGGTGATCTAAAATTAGGTTATACCAGTGCCGGCCACGTCCAAATGCTGGTCAAGCAAGGAATGGGTAGGAATGGGTAGGAATGAGTTAACGACATGCTCGCTTGAATGAATGCCGAGAACACTACTGCGCTTAAAAGGGTTAGAATTGCAGCAGGATTCGTTTTGGTAAACGATATGCTGAATTGATGTCCTAACGATATATTATCGTAAAGGAACTTGGGTTTGAACCCACGGTCTTTTGCTCAGTAAGCAAAATCGGTCACCACAAGGCCACCGAGCTCCTCATTTCATAAAACAATTACGACCAAGTTCCTGTTCAACTTGCTGTTACTGTTTTCGATCACGTCGGCGACTTCACCGACGACGATAACAACTACGATCAACACATCTTTGGTAAAACTCGAATATTATTTCTTTTCAGTACTCGTTTCTCAACCAAATTTCGGGTTATCTTATATTCAGAAACAAATCCGATTTAGCGTCAGCCTTGTTGTGGTATACTTCGTAGATTGGATACTAGTGGATAAAGCGACTTACTAGTGACTTGGAATTCTTATTCAGACTGCTTTCAGGAATAATGCTGTGGAGTAAACATTGATTCCAATTTAAACAAGGATACCAAAAGCATGACTGTCGTCACGCCCATCTTTACCGTAACTGGGGATAGGGAAGGAAATGTTGATGTAGTACGTACTTAACGAGAGGCCACCAACTTAGCGACACCCTCCCTCATAAGTGCTACGGAGTTGAAGAATTGGGTAGGGTATATATTAGGCCAGAATTCGCCTCAAGCTGGCGGTATGACCAAAAGCATATGTGTTGTGTAGGGTAGTTGTCTTCCAAATTTTTCCTGGAAGCCTTCTAGTCTTTTCATGAAGATCCTCTAGGTTTTTTCAAGTAGCTTTCTGGACTTATCCTAAGGGTCTTAATACCCCACATTTCTCCTAAGTCCACTTAACTGTTCTAGAATCAATTAGATTCCTGTAGCCTTGAGTTGTGCTGCCATTATACGCATAAGAATCCCAAGGCGCATAAGTATCGCGTAGAACATGCGACAGATATGCGTTGAATTGCAATGTGGGACCTACGCAATTAACTCGTAGTTTAGCTGTACCCAAACTTATGAAGTTTTGCTACGTTGATTTTCAAAACAATCTCTACGTATCGCTTAAAAAATCCAGCATTCGATTCGAACCTGAGAAATGGTTCGTAAGAGAGTATCCCTACCTGTTTGGTCGCCAGTCGCGAGTCCCTCGAGTATAGCCGCAGCTCCCAGTTGGCGCCGGTGCAGGTGCTATCCAAATTCTCCACCAACTGCTTCAGCGCGTTGAACTGATTTGGCGGGAACTGGTACGCTAGCGTCAAGTGCAGCGACTTGACATGCGGCTCCAACGAAATCGCTGAAAATGTAAATCAGTTACATAACTGAGTCGCCAAACAACCGTGCGCTGCTGCATGCAAAATTTCGGTATTATTATGATTAAAGTCGAATGTGGTTAAAAAGCACCAATTTTCAGAGCAAAACTAGTTCTACTAAACGTATCATACAGACATTAAAATGAAGGAAACTAAAATTATACTAACAGAATGCAGTTTTTTTTTATGTCTGCGTAGTGAGACTAATAGTTCGAGGGGTAGAGCTCTATAGGGAGTGAAGGCGAAATCATATTCCTATAAAAAGAAAAACATGAAATTTATGGCTCCATCACCAGGCTACCGGCGACTGTCGATCGCCGGTCAATGCTTACATCGGCTGCTACGCGGTATACAACGGGCTGATGTTACTCCCCCGCACCATGGAAAACAGGTAACTAGCGCGTCTAACTGTTCGTATGTGTCGCTGATTACTGAGAGCGATAAAATGAGGGAAAAAGGAGAGAGAACAGTAGAAATGATATGCACAAGGCCGTAGACACAGTAGAATTACACTTGTCAATTCTAGTGCACCCATATGGTTTCAATCTAATGGATTAGTCTACCGTGATCCTGATCGGGGACTGAGAGAAAATCGGTACTCACTCGAATGGGATACTTCCTTGACATACTGAAGCGCCAATCGCTTCAGATAGTTGGCATCGTCTTCGACTACGAAGAAGCCCATAAAGTTCGGGCTCGTGTACAGTTCCAAGGTGATGGGCCGATCAATGTGTGCCCCCGGCAGAGTCATCAACTCTTTCAAGGCTTTCGAAAGCTGTGGAGCACACTCGTCCGGTGCCTTGAAGAACGACACCAGCGTGATGTGAGGCGTAAAGTTGTGTGCCCCATTCCACCCGCACAGCTCACGAGATTGGGTCCAAAAGTTCTCCAACTGCTGCAGAAATGGCCCAGTCGGGCAGGCGTACAGGATGTACTCCCGTGGTGAACATTCGTCCAGCGATGGATCGTTGACGTGTGCCAACAGCCAATCGGAGGCCAGCTGTACACCACGATTTCCGGTTGCAGCCAAAGCCTTTTCACTGAAAAGAGGTCAAATGGTTTGTTTTACTTTCACTTCAAGCCTTCGGGACGCAAGGCACCACCCGCTCCACTGGGAGGTGGGGCCGCTGCAATTGATAATCACTCACGCCCTATGCTTCGGAAATCCCATCTGAAGCAGTATCTGCAACGGAGTTAAGTGCTGCTTGGAGATTTTCGTTGGCGTAGGATTTTTACGCGGTGGCAGAGCCGCCATTTCCGCTCCAGACACACACGAAACCAGACGGCGACGACGATGAAATTTGAGCCGAGAGTCTACTAGGCGATGGTCGGTTGCATTCGCTGATGCAACCTACTAGCACTCTTTGGTGATATTCTACATTGGATTGCAGGTGGCACTTAGTTGTAGTTTCGGATATGGGATGAAAATTTAAACGAACCGTGAAATCTGCGTATTTATAATCGTCTTACTGCACCGATTCTGCCTGGTTCGTTTATAGGTAGTTTTTATTTTTGTTTTTGACGTTTGACACGCATACAAAATATATATGATCGAGAAAGTGGTTGTGTTGGTTTTTGTTGTGCTTTGCACATTCAGCCCGGTGTGCACTGAACATGTGCTCGCGCGGTTGTTGTTGAGTTTGAGTGGGATCTAGGTAAGTAGATGCGGGTAGCATAAATCGAGGCAGTTTCGCTTATTTTCAACTGACCCGTATGAACTTTTTGCAGTTCAGTAAATATCTATTACTCGTTACAGTTGCATTGTGAGATTAAACGATTTTAAAAGTTTTTAATTCATACTGGCGACAACGCTCTGACAGCGAACCCCAATCTCTTACGTCAATCTATCCAGCGGGACAAACTTAACGAATTTTAAAGTTGATACGTGTTTTGGAATGTACCAATAGCGTACCTTCAAGGATTTTGAACGTACCTCAAAGCTTCCCGGAAAACCCGTGTCCCGCTGGATAGATATACGATTTCAGCAATGACCAAGTCGATCGACCAGATTTCTACGGAAATGTGACGTACCAAATGCGTACTTTACGAATCTGTAATTCATTTTATACGTACCTCTTATTTTCACTTAACTGCTTATACTAAAAATTTTAAATAGGTTTATATATAAATTCTGGGCACGGAATTGGATTCCTTAAGTGCATTCTAGCCAATTTGAGGACGTAAACAAACATGTCATGTCATTACGTATCTTGCTCGACGAAAAGTACGTTTTATTGAGCTATATTTCGCGTCTGTTATGACTCATATTTATGTCAAAATTGACGCTCGTATATGTCGCTCTCAGAGCACCTAAATTTACATTAATTTCTCTAAGTGTATGTGCATTGGCAAGCCTTTTCGTGGCCAATTGTCAGGTTCAGCGCTGCGACTCAACGCTGAAACGAATGATGGAACTGATGATGGGACGAATGATGGGATGCCTCATGGAGTTTCTACTTGTCTTCGGAACAGCTTCTTAGCGGGAAATAACAGGGAGGTAGAACTAGATACAATGAGATGCAGCTCTCGCAGGACTTCTTCTGTCTAAATTAACTCGCTGACAAACTAGGCATCGTCTCCTGGGCCTGGTTTTGACCAGACCAGCAACCGATTATAGATAAAAAAAAACTCCACGAAAAAAAACAAACGTTACGTTCGATCACACGCACAGTCTACTCCTTCTCAAACCGTGGGCACATGGTCAACCTCAAACAAGGATTCACGGAAACAAAGTACAAATTGACGAAAAACGATAAAAAAGAACGATCTCACCAAGTCTGCAACAAGACGCTATGCCACTTTTCAGCGTAGCAATCCCAAATTGTAGATGATCCACTTTTTGACAGGAACCAACATACACCATTCCGATTCATCTGTCTGCAATTCCCCGAGTAATGTTCTCCTCTGATAGGTTCAGCGATCCGCCACACCTCCATCAAAATTTCGAGAAGTCACGAGTTCGTTTGAGGCTACACCTTGGTTTCAAAGCCACTTGCCCGGGGCTCAGAAGCAGCCATTGCAGTACAGTCCTCATGAAGACGAACCACAAAGGAAATGTGATACCAGCCTAGACAAAAATCACAGCAGATCCATCCAATTTGAGTATCACTGCTCAGACTTCATGGTTCAGATCTCTATTTGCTTGACTTCTAGTTGTAAAGTCAAAATCTTGATATCCTAAAAAAAATCACTCGAGCAGTCTGATATTTCGAGAATTCTATGATTGATCCGAAAACTTCAGAAAAGTCAAGGAATTATGAATACATATGTCAGAAAATTTTCCAGAACATGAAATTAATTTATAGAGCTTCAGGGATGTCCAGATAAGTTCTGGGAAATTAATGATTCAATGCCAAGTTCCGTCTGCGTTTATAAAGTTTATAAAACTTAAGGAAAACGTTAAGGAAATTCAGAAATCTTTCAGATAGTTTTCATACCATCAGAAAAGTGTAGACTGTTGAAGAAGTTATGAAATAGTGTCGATAATTTAAGGACAGTTTCATGAACTTCAGTGACAATCATAGAACCCTGTTAATTATGTCGTTTCAATTCCAAGAAAATTGCGGGACCTAAAGAAGTTCCAGAAATTTCAGAAAATCTTTAAAAAACTTCACAGAAGTGATTTTCAGAAACATTTCGGGGACTTCATAGAAGTCTATGGAACTTAAGGGAAATTCTGATAACTATAGGAACATTCATGAACATTAGCAACATGCGGGACCATTCCAAAGAAGTTTAGTAAGCTCCAGAACTATGTGGAATTTCAGGAGGAGTTCAGTTCCATTCGTTGCAGAAAATTAACGGGAAATTTTGAGAAGTTTCCAGGTTTTCAGAATTCTTCAAAGATGTTAATTTTTTTTTTATTGAGGTCATAAGTTCAGAAGTTCATGAAAGCTTAAACATTTTAGGATAGTTCAATTAAATTCAGAGCAATTCAACAAGCTTCACACATTTTTTAAAGAGAAGTTTCTAGAACTCCAGGAAAGAACAGAGAACCTCAGAGTATTTTCGATAAGTTAGAAAAATTACACACATTTTAAAGAAGTTTGGAGAACTTCAGTGAATTATTAAAATTTTAGAGAAGATCCATGATGGTTAGGAAACTTTAGAAATATATTTTAAAAATTTGATGAGAAGTATTCTCGGCATCAGGTGATTTTCTCAAACTACAAAAGAACTTCAAGGCAGGTCCGAGCTTTTCACTAACGGTCATTTCCGCAACATCGTCAGCCGGGACAGCGCGCAGAGCTCTTTAATACCGGAAGCCGTCGATTCGATGAAGGCGGACATTGATAAATTGAATTCGGCAGTGGCCGCCCTAGCGGCCAAAGTAGACTCGAAACTACCATCCGCTTCGACATCGACATTGTCTTGGCCTAGATCGGATCGTCTCAACTCTAATCGTAACACCCCAAAGCGTCGTCGGACCTCGATTAACTCGAACGATAAACCGATTCTCAGCGGCACGAAACCACCCAGTGAGTCGATTAAAACAGTTAACCAAAATGCGGATAAGGTGTGGGTATATTTATCGGTGTTTCACCCCAGTACCACGAACGAAGATATTGCGTCACTCGTTCGTGACTGTCTGGCACTGGACCCTAGTGAAACACCAATGGTGGCCAAACTGGTACCCAAAGGTAGAGATCCAACAACGCTGAACTTCGTATCGTTCAAAATTGGCGTCAAGAAAGAACTGCGTGACCTGGCACTTTCTTGCGACTCTTGGCCTGAGAGTATCCAGTTCCGTGAGTTCGAAGATTCACGAAGCTTGAAAATCACCCAATTGACGAATGCTGCCCCTATGGAGTGACAGCTTATACTTCCAGAAATTCAACCGAACGCACCGTAGAAAGCCTGATGGAAGCTCCCAATCGCCCCAACCCAGTCCGGCATATCGCAGCCTCCGTTCATCACAGCCGTCTCGGTGCTGTGGTTGGTGGTGGAAAGGGAGTCTTCCACCATGCTTGCACAGGCAAGTACTGTTTTGATTCGAGCTTTTCGTTGCGTGACGAGTTTTCCCGCACCCAGGTTATCATTAGCTGTCCGGACCATGATGAAGTGAATCCTGTTGCTGCTGCACTTCGGACAAATAGACGCATCGCAGGAACGAACGATGAGTATTTTCAACCGGGACGCACCGTAGAAAGCACTTGGGAAGTCCTCGGTTCCTCTAACTCAGTCGTGCCGATTCCTGCCAGCGTACATCAATGTCGTCCCGGCCCTGAGCTTAGATGTGGATCGAGGGTCTTCCAACTTGCTATGTCAGGCAAGTACAAATATTATTCTGAACATTCACTGCCTGATGCCGAGTCGAATTTCAGCACTCTGGATGTCACCGATCGAGGAAATGCTTCTACTCCTATTAATTGGAACCTGGGACGCGCTGTAGAAAGCATTGTGGAAGCCCCCAATCCCTCTGACCCAGTCCTGCCATCTGCCGCCTCCGATCTTCATAGTCGTTCCGGGCCTGTGGTTGGATGTGGAGAGGGGGTCTTCCAACCTACTCACTACGGCGAGTATCCACTTGAGATTGTTCATGTCCATTCGCCACCTGATATTTCCATGACTTCCAGGGAAAACGCCTTACCTCGTGCGACCACCGACCGTAGTAAACACGACGTCATTTTCTACTACCAAAACGTAGGCGGAATGAATTCTGGTGTTCTTGACTACCACCTAGCTGTATCGGACCTGTGCTACGATGTCATCATTTTTGTCGAGACTTGGCTCGATTCTCGAACGCTTTCCATCCAGGTGTTCGGATCCGAATACGAGGTTTTCCGCTGTGACAGAAATCCGAAAAACAGTCGGAAATCTACTGGAGGTGGTGTTCTCGTGGCAGTTCGTTCCGGGTTAAAGGCGAGAGCTATTGAAAACGTCTTGTGGAACTGTGTGGAACAAGTTTGGGTGGCCGTAGAACTGAGCGATCGCACACTGTACCTATGTGCGGTGTATATTGCACCTGACCGGGTTCGTGACAACGAACTTATCGATACCCATTGCCGGTCCGTTTTCACCATAATGGAGAGTGCGACACCAACTGATGAGATAATCGTTCTGGGCGACTTCAATCTACCCGGTGTTTCCTGGAAACCATCTTACAGCGGCTTTCTCTACCCAGACCCTGTACACTCTGTATTTCATACAGGATCAGTTAGCCTTCTCGACTGCTATAGTACAGCAACACTATCTCAAATAAACCACGTAGTCAACGAAAACAACCGTAGCCTGGACCTCTGCTTCGTTAGCGTTCAGGACACCGCTCCTTTCATCTCCACGGCACCTTCTCCACTAGTAAAGCAAGTACATCATCACCCTCCCTTGGTTGTCACTGTTGCTGACAATCACGATCGGGTCTTTGACGACATTTCCACGACCGTGTCATACGATTTCCGGAAAACCGATCACCGTAGTATCGTCAACGCCGTGCTATCTAGTATAGATTGGGAGAGCATCCTAGATCCTGATAATGTTGA